TGCTGACCTCGCTCCACTGTTAACTGTTGGATCGTGCACTGCTGATTTTACTGTATGACAGAACTTTCCAAAATTACATTCTGGGTAGGCCGCTATAGAGAAATGAGGCGCTGATGTAGTTGGAGGGCCATGCTTCCAGAGAAGGCAACTCTGGTCGTCTGCGCTCCCCCTCTGACCGAGGCAGAGAATCCTTCGTTCTTCCAGGCCTGTCCCAAGAACGCGGACAGCCAGAATCGCTGCGGCCTAGTGTCAACGTACCGCTACGTTAACGCCGAAAAGAGTAAGAAACAACTCACTATAGACTTTGAAGAAGATGGAGCAACTGTAGCGGTTGCTGGTGCAGGCGTGCTTTTACTTGGAGTGGGTACCGGCGTTGTTGTTGAACTTGTAGCTTTGTTTGTGAGTGGGCGCAGCTACAGGTGAAGGTGTAGTCTTGTTGAAAGCAGTTGTGGGAGCCGTGTTGTTTGCGAAATGTTCCACCAGACTTCGCCAAGAATGCCAAGTTTGGTGCGCCATTCTTGTGCTCCTTAGAAATGAGATATTATACTCATTGAGTTTCCATTAATTACTAGTAAGCGAATGAGTCAGATGTGTAAACCTAAACTGTAGAAAATACTAGCAACTAACATCTCGTCGTTTGATGCAACGTGGCATACAAAGAATTCTTCTGAATGCCGCAGTAATCCGCGAAGTGAATGTGCTACACGAGCTTTCTCATGAACCGAGTATCCATCCTTCAAGCATTGTTCTTCTATTCTAAAATGAAATTCAGTGAAAATCGGGACGGGAAGCTTTCAATGGTGAAGTCGCTCGAACGTACGCAATAACCATGTCCACATGGATGTTCTGAAGTCGCTTCTTCTGACCAGGCAACGCTAGATTATTCGTACAACGCTTGAACTCCTCTATCATACTAGACAAGGTGTCGGTCATCGGTGCCAGTGGCCGTTTCTTCTAGAAAAAAAATGTTAAGAAAGAAAGACTTCCAGCAAACCACGATTGAGTTCTTATAAGTTTAGAAATAAAGAGGTAATAACATACAGGGGATGGTGGCACAGCCGCTGTACTAGAGCTAGCCTCAGCGCTAGATGACGCAGAATTGTTTTGAGGCACAAACTCCGGGAAAGGAGCATCGGACGTGGCAGGAGTAGCGGCAGCATCCACCGATGCTTTCTCGGGAGTCTATAATTAGAATTAAGAATTCATCGGAGATTAAAATTGCAACATGATGCATTAAAATGCCTGGAACGACCAAATATTACAAGTTCACAACAAATGTAAGCATTATGCTGCGTCATACTTTGCGGCAGCGTCCATCAGCGCCCACCAGCGACCTACGTTTCAAGCGTCCCTCAGTGCCAGCGACTGTGAAAGCATAGACGTCGATCCAGCGGACGGCAGCGTTTAGGAGTGGAGAGCATGGGGAAGTAGGAGGGTAGCAGACAGCTGGATTAGGCATCGCGAAATTGCGGCGTGTGCAACTGCACCACAACGGCTAAAGCACACGATTCTGCCATTTTGATGTACGGCGTAGTACAGCTGCACGGTGCGGTTGCACACGCCGCAGTTTTCGACGCTAATCCAGCTGTCTGCTACCTTCCTACTTCCCCATACTCTCCACTCTTAAACGCTGCCGTCCGCTGGTGGGCATGCAAATTCATACCTATACTTCCCTACTCCCTACGCTGGTAAACGCTTCCATTCTCTAAATCGATATCTATACTTTCCGAGGCGCCGCCGCCGCAACGTATATATGAATGCAGCCTTAGTTTGTTTGAATAGCAAAACACTTTGTTCCATTGACATAAGTAAGGCAGCGTTCAGACTTCGCGACGGCAGCGCTTTGGTCGCGCACTCGACGCTATCAAGGCAGTTAAAAGCATGCGCATCGATCGCGTCGAATGCGCGATGCTGTGCCCTCATGAAGTCTGAGCGCTGGCCCAAAAGAGCTCTCAGATCTGAGTACAGCGCGAGACCGTAAAAATGCTACCCTACGAAATTTACGTAATATCGCCACTGCACGTCTTCGTTATTCGTTGTGCGATAATGCACACATGCTCGCATGAACCTATAAACTTTTACGAGCACCACAAGGATAAGGGCACAATTTAGGCCACCGACAATATGAATATTGCAACGGAAGGAAGGGACCAGTCATTTGGCCTTCTGCGCTTGAACACCAGAGCCTGGAGGGTGGTCACCAATAAGAACAGCTGAGGCAGCGCTAAGACTTTGTGATGACGCTCGCCACGTGCTATAATTGCAATAGCGCTCCAATCCTATAGACGCGGGAGTAGCTGCTAAAGAGAATCGGTCGGCGCCGGCGTTTGTGTTTTGTTAGAGTGCAGGATAACAGGAAGCAGCTGCTGCCTTCATACAGTCTGGTACTCACTCATTCCTTACTCTTCCAAAGCCTAGCATCCAGCGCTTATCGATACGAGACTGCGCGATTAGGCAGCGCGTACCCTCCTGTTCCCTCTCCCACACTCAGCGTACAAGCGGCCGGCGATTCCCGTCAGCGGTTGCGTTCTCTTCTACAGGACTGGAGCGCCGTTGCAACTGTAGCGCGTTGACACGCGTTACAGAGTGACATCGCGAAGTCTGAACACTACGAGAAGGAGCTAGGGGGTTGGAAATTGTCAGAGTACTTTCATGGTAAAACACTCGGTGTCAGCATACACAAAATCGATTTAAATACAGAGCATATGAGATGCGAATGACCCCATTTCTAGAACCTCTTTTGGTGTCCTCGCTGTGGCTCGGATGTGTTGATCTACACCCGAAGGATTGAGAAGACTTTTTATCGCAGGCAATCCTTTATATCAGAGCCCATAGAGCGGGAGCTCCTGTTCAATGGTTCAGCAAAAATATGATTTTTTTTCGAACGAGCGCCCACTGATTCCATTTGATCAGTCCCCTTCTCCCAACAAAACCAGAAGGAGGTTTCCACCATAATCCCTGGCCACCACGCGAAGGGCAATTGTCTGAATACCCGAAACTGTGAATCCATTTCAAGAACATTTTATTGTGCTGCTGATGGGATGCTATATTTGGAGCTGCTGCCGGATAGGCAATCACATTCGTTCACAAGATAGCACCGAGTGCTCTCAGCTACCGAAAAAAGGGACGCGAGAAGGTAAAGGTTACTTTTCTCCATGACAACGCACATCCGCGTTGATTTGCCACGCGCCAGGGCACAGCGACCAAGCTGGACAACGGCGCCCAGAAGACGAGCACGAAAATCGTGAACTGCCGTTTCGTCGCGCGCGGCAGGGGCGCGGCGTTTCCTTAATTCGCACCATCCTTTCGTCTGGAGCGTCGGATTTCATGTAGACAAGGACATGGTAGTTTTCGGTCACACATTGTCTCTTCTCGACCAATACCAACTAAAATAGTCATCATTTTCGGACGCGACGTCGCACGCGACGCCCACTAGTGCGGCGAACTATGATTCTCTTGCCGCATACTCCAACGACGCCCCACAAACCGCACTCTCCCCTACCTAAATCCTTTCAGATCCCATTTTCCCCTTCCAAGAAGAGGTGTCACAACGAAGGAGCTTTCAAAACTCGGGGATGTCAGATTCGTTCTTGCTGAGTTCCTCTACGATACCCGACCTTTTCGCAAGTGGGGCATCTAGAAGCTGTTTCGTGCTCGTCTTTCCAGAAAACCAAATCTCTAAAGATGGTTCTCTTAAACGATTCCTTATAATACCAAATCACCTATTCTTCTCGAAAAGGTGAATCGACGGTATTGATAAGCCTTCTTGTGGCAGAGCACGTTTCGACACAAGAAACAAATTATGACGTGGACTGCACACACAACAACTAGCGGAATCAAAAAGGTACGAAAGAAAAGAAGAAAGGAGAAATGATGAGTGAGGCCGAGAAAGGGTCTTGTAGAAAAGAAATCTAATGAGATCAACTCAAAGGATGAATTTTATTCAAAGTAAGCATGTACAAACGACCTCACTCATGGTCTAATTCAACTGGTGCTCAAAAATGCCTTTGTTGAAAAGCCACCTAGCTT